CACGCTCACACGCTCACTCGCACGCACACAGCGTCGCACACCACGCTCACCATCCCGGGACCAGCAGACCGGTCGTGCACAGGCAGCTTCATGTGGCACAGCCGCAGGCATGGAGTGGCACCCGTGTGGTCACCAGTGTGCGTGCTGCCGTGCGCACGGCGCGGCACGTCGTGGCTGGGATGTCCTGCATGGTGCGCGCTGCTCCATGGTGTTTCCATACACGCTGTGCCGCGTGTGCGTGACGCACATCCCGCTGTGTGCACTGCATGCCCGCAGGGCATCATGCGCCACTGTGAGCCCGGTGCTGGGTGGGCAAAGCCGGGACGCGTGCCACGCACTGGAGCTGGTGCTGCCGCAGCCGGGATGTCCCCGTGGGCCCACGTGCGTCACCAGGACTTGGCTGCTCCTCACTTCCCAAGCCTCCCAGCAGCAATTGACGGGGAGTGGTGACGCACGAGGGCACTGCAGGGCTCCCAGCCGCCCCTGCCTCCCTGGGGAGCCCACTGCAGGCTGTGCCATGCTGAGCTGAGGTCTTCCCAGCAGAGGCCTCAGTAAAGGTTGCTCCGTGCCCAGCTGCCTTCAGCCCTGCCTGGCCCCTGGCTCCCAGCAGGGCAGGGATGGGGACGAGGATGAGATGTGCTGCTGCAGCCCTGCAGGGCGCCCAGCGTGCTGTGCTTAGGAAGGCAACCAAGCCTGCTTCGGCATTGGTGGTAGGTGACTCGGCGTTCCCAAATATAACCCGGGCGTCCCGGCGGGAGCACAGCAAGCAGCACTCACTTGAGACCATATAAAGGATTGTTTCTGCAGCCCATGGTCGGCAGTGCACAGAGTAGAGGCCATGCCGGATGGGCATGGTGGCACTGGTGGGGACGACATGGTGTCCCTGAGGCTCCTGCTGCACTGCTCCTTGTTCCCTGTGCTGGGTGCTGAGCGCTGCCACTCCATGCCCAGCCCTTCCCTGCCTCAGTTTCCCCATATGCAGGGTGGTGATGAGCACACTGGCAGCACAGAGTCCTGAGGTCCCAGGAGTGCTGTGCCAGCACCCAAGGGCAGGGTGGCCCCAGTCACCACATGGATGGAGGAGGTGCCGTAGGCAAACCCTGGGTCTCCACCCCCTGGGGAGCCAGGGGATGTGGGGTGGGCAGTGGAGTGTTACTGGAGCACTGCTGCATCCTCAGCGCCCTTGGTGCCATCGCACCACACTGGGGTGCCCCCGGTCCCCTTGTCAGGAGGGTCCTCTCTGAGGTGCCTTGTCCCCACAGGAGACTCTTGGGGGATCTTTGCCTTTTTGTGTGCCGCACTCTGCAATCTGCCAGCGGTGCCCGCGCTGAACGGCACGGAGGAGCTGGGTGCTGGCCAGTCCATCCAGAAGACCTACGACCTGACCCGCTACCTGGAACACCAGCTCCGCACCCTTGCCGGCACTTATGTGAGTAGCTCACCACTGCCCCTTCCCTTAAACTGCTCATCCCCCCAGCTTGGGGAGACTCCAGCATCCCCAGGGCACGGCACTGGGATGTAAGTGGGAGTACACCTGTATACATGAGACTGCGTGTTTCCACCCATGCTGGAGGCCAAGGAAATGCCTCATCAGACAAGGGCAGTGGCCAGGGGAGCCTCCCTGTGCCGGAGGCCCTGGACTCTGGTCCTGGCACAGGGTGTGAACATCTTCACACCCCTGGCTCCTCCCCCCCACCTCTCCTTGCCTGCCAGTGGCACCGGCCCAGGTGGAGGTTTTGCTGTCTCTGCCCTGATCTGCCTCCCCTTGCTGCTGATGATCATGCTGTGGGAATGGTGAGGGTGGAATTGCTGTCTCGACATTGCTGGTGAGCTCTGGCTAAGCTCTCCTCGTTGCCTCATCTGCATAGAGGCGGTGGGCAGGTGGGAGATGTGGATGCAGACACCTGGAATATGGGTGCATGGAAGACTGGGGACCTCCATGGTGCTCAGGGACATGATGAACTTGGGGACATGGAAACCAGGGGCACAGTGGGGACAAGGTGACATGTCCAGGTAGGGGATGTGGATATGGACACCTGGGATGTGGGGGAGCATGGTGAACGTGGGGACATGGGGGCATGGCACTGAGGGACATGGTGGGCAGGGGAATGTGGAAACCAGGGGTAAGATGGGGACAGGGAGACACGGTGGGCACGTCCAGGTAGAGGACACAAAGGTCTGGGACGTGGGGTATATTGTATACAGGGAGACTTGGGGACTGGGGGCATGAAGGTTGTGGAGATCTGGAAAATTCTGTAAAGGAGAATGTGGTGTGCAGGGAAATACGGAGACAGGAGAGGTATCGGGCACCCATACCTGGGGAACATGGAGACCTGGGTTGTGGACACCTGTGGTTGCGCACACGGGGAACTAGGGACATGGAGGGCATGGAGACCTGGGACGTGACGGGCAGTGGGATCTGAGACTGGAGACACGGTGGCATGGAGACTTGAGACGTGGTGTGCAGGGGGACGCAGAGACCTGGGGTGTCTTGGGCATTGGGCGCAGAGACTGGTGGTGTGTGGGACATGGGTGCCGGGGACACGTCGGCCCCCTGTCAACTCCTCCCCTCCTTGCAGCTGAACTACCTGGGCCCGCCCTTCAATGAGCCCGACTTCAACCCCCCGCGGCTGGCGCGGGCTGAGCGGGTGCCCAGCGCCACGGTGGACTTGGACCTGTGGCGGGGCCTGACGGACAATGCGCGCCTGGCAGCCAACTACCGGGCCTACAGCCGCCTGCTGAAATATCTGCGTGGCCTGGACGGCCAGGTGGGCACAGTGGAGCTGCGCCATCGCCTCGGCCACTTCTGCTCCAGCCTGCAGGGCCTGGTGCTCAGCATCGCCGGCGTCATGTCTTCCCTGGGCTACCCGCTGCCCGCCGGCCCTGCCGGACCCCCGCCCTCCTCTGGCACCCCTGCAGCCCCCAACGACTTTCTGAAGAAGATGGATGACTTCTGGCTGCTGAAGGAGCTGCAGACGTGGCTGTGGCGCTCGGCCAAGGACTTCAATCGCCTCAAGAAGAAGGTGCCGCCAGCCGTGGTCACACTGCGCATCGAGGCCAGGGGCTTCTGAGGGCCCCCGCCCTGCTGAGGGCATCCCCACAGCAGTGGCCGCACACATGTCACCACTTGGCCTTCATGGATGGGGATCGCTTTAGTGCCACCGAAGCCACTATCACCACTTGGCCTTAACAGATGGGGATCCTGACCCCAGAGTGCTACCAAAGTCACCCCACATATTCCTCACCACCTCACTGTGCCTTGAGAGAGATGGAGTTCCCGATCCCAAAATGCCACCAAAACCACTCCAAGTCCCTTCCGTCACCACTGTGTGTTAAGGGACAGGTCTTCTCATCGTAAAGTGACACCAAACCCACTCCATATCCCCACTGTCGCCACTGATTTAACAGGTGGGGCTCCAGACTCTGAAGTGCCACCAAAGCCATGCCATGCCTTTTCTATTCCCGGAGTGTCATCAAAGCCACCCCACATCCCCAGCATCACCACTGTTCATTAAGGGACCGGTCTTCCGATCCCAAAGTGGCATCGTAGCTTTCCCATGTCACCACTGTGCCTTAACAGATGGTCTGTCTGTCCCAAAGGGCCATCAGAACCACCCCAAATACGTACCATCATATTGCCGTGCCTTGACAGATGGGATTCCCACTTCACCAAAGTGCCACTGAAGCCAGTCCATGTCCCCACCATCACCTCTAGGTCTCAAGGGATGGTGATCTTGATCCCAAAGTGCCACTAAAGCTACCCAGCATCCCCCCGTCACCACCGTGCCTTAATGGATGGGGCTCCTGACCACAAAATCCTAAGGGACAGGGCTCCCAGACCCACAGACCTCCCCACATCGCCCCGCAGTACCTTAAGGGACAGGCACTCAGCCCCAGAGGGTTCCCATGGTGTCTCATCACCCTGCCATGCCTCGGGGGACGGCCTCCTGCCCCCAACTGCAGCCAGTGCCGCCCTGCTGTCACCTTGCAGTGCACTGACGCAAGGGGTGGTGACACCGTGGCGTCCCCGTGGCCGCGCTGTGCCACCCATTACCCTGTAGGGCTGGGAGCCACGCTCTCCTGGCCCGCCCCCCGGCAGCAGTAAGCCCCGCTTCGCCACGAACGGACCAAACCCTCCCCTGCATAGGAATAGGCCCCGCCCCCAGCGCAGTAAGCCCCGCCCACCCGCCAGGAGCACAGCTGGGTGCCCGAAGCTCCGCCCCCGTCACCACCGTTGCCTAGCAACCCGCGGGTCCCGCCCACTGGCCCTGGGGGCGTGGCTTGTTCTGGGGGCGGGGCCGGGGCAGAGCCCCAGGGCCGCCGTCTCGGTGCGTCTATGCGTGTTTATTTATTGGAGATGTTATTTATTAGGGTATTTATTGCAGAAGATCTATTCTTGTATTAACAAATAAAAGCCTTTCTCCAGTGCCTCTGCCCCCTGGCCCGTGTCCCCCCGCAGAGGGGCCCTGAAGAGCTGCCCATAGGGACACGGCTGTGTGGGCCCTGCCGTGCCTGGAGGGGCCCGTCAGCACCGCTTCCTCTGTGCCCCCACAGCCCCACTGAGGATGGGGTTTGGCGGCAGCACCCCATAGAAGCCTGCCACGTGCCAGGGTGGAGGTGGGGGGTTCTTAATGCCCTGAGTAGGGGCAGAGACACCCGGAGTAGGACTGGGCGTCAATGTGCCGTGTAGACACGGATGAGATTGGGGGCCGACCAACGTGCCACCAGGGTATGGGACTTGGACCCCTGTACCACCTGGTGGTGATGGGACCAGTGACCCCCATGGCAACCAGGGCTCAGTTCACGGCCAACCCTGTCACCATCACAGCAGGGCTATGGGTGTCCCCGTCTACATCATAGTGAGGGCATGGGGACCCCCAGGTCCCTATCCTGATTGAGGATATGTGAGGCAGCAGGGTGCCACGTGCACTGCGCCCGGCAGGATGGACCCTGCCCATCACCACCCCCAGGAACACTCTGTCCAAAGGGCAGTCGCCCACCCGTGACGGCCACTGGCAGCCTTGGGACACACCACCATCACTGCTTGCCCACAGCCCACAGGGACCCGCAGCCACAAGGTGAGTAACAGCAATGGGGACAGGGATGGGGTGCTCGGGGGTCCCCTCACCGTTGACTCCTTGGCAGGGCCATGCAGATCCTGACGTGCCCGGCCCATTTGCAGCGCCTGGAGGCCGCCCTGCGCAGCAGCCTGCCTCGTGCCCTGCCGGTGAGTCACCCACAGCTGCCCCTCCACCATGGGGGTCGTGGGCCACCCCGTTCCCTCCCTGACACCCCCGGGGCACACATCTGCTGGGCCGTTCTCGAGCACCATGAGCCTGCCCCAGCCAACCCCAAACTGCCTGAGCTCTGCCACCTGCTCAAGGGCAGCCCATCTTTGCCACAGCTGGGCTGCACGGGTGCCGGGCTTTGCAGGTGTACGGGGCTGTGCTGAACATCAACCGTGGCAACCCCGGGGACTTCGAGGTGGCAGTGGATGCCTGGCCCAACTTTGGTGCTGTGCTGGCGCGGCAGAGAGGAGAGGTGGCCGGAGGGGCTGTGGGGAGGGAGGGGCCCGTGCCCGTGTTGGAGGGGCTCAGCATCCCGCCCCACAGGCGCCGCTGAATGACAGCTACAGGAGCCTGTGCAGCGCCTTCTACTGGGATGTGGGTGCCTACCGCGCCCTGCTGGAGAGCCCGGGCTGCCTGCGTTGGGACTCCGCTTTCCACATCTTCGGTGGCTGTGGGGACAACCACGGGGACATGGGAGGAACGAGCAGTGATGGGAGCGGGGGTGGTTGTGTCAGGAACGGGTGGTGCTGGGAATGTGTGGGGCATGGAGGGCAGTGTGGGAACACAGGGGAGCAGAGCCCTTGCCGCTGCCGTCGCCAGGGCTGCAGGATGGCGTGCTGACGGTGTCCCAGGACATTGCATCGGCCAAGGGCATAGACCTGGAGGTGACTGAGTACTACACCTACCTGCACACTGACACCAGCACTCTACCAGAGCCACAGTGAGCCTCAGCCCCATCTCCTTCTGTATCTCCATCCCTGTTCCCATTCCCTTCTGTGTCCTTGTCCTGTTTCCATTCCAGTCCCTGTCCTATACCCCATCCCATTCCTGTCCACAACCCTCTCCCGAGCTCATTCTTGCTCCATCCCATATACGTCCCAGAACTCATCCAGCAGCCATTCAAGCCCTGTCCCCATCTCACACCCATCCGTGGTCATGTCATCATTCTAATGCCAATCCTAAATGTAACTAATGGTAACTCTAGCCCATCCCTGCTCCATCTCACGCATGTCCCCAGCCCCATCCCATCCCCAGCCATGGTCAGGCCTCAGTCCCATTCCAATCCATGGCTATGTCCCCATCCTAACCTTAACCCTAACTGTAACCATAACCTTAACGCTAACCCGTCCCATCCATGTCCCCAACCCCACCCCCACTCACCCCCTGGCTCCTGTCCCATCCCCTCCCCACGACACCCAACATCATCTTGCAGGCTGGACCCTGACCTGCAGCTGGGCACACTGAGCCCGGCGCATGTGGAGCTGCTGGACTCAACGTGGGCATACGGGGGGAACGCGTGGAGCCGGCGCTACCTGGGGGAGCTGCTGCGCCGGTTCCCCTATCTATGCCTTCAGGACCCGGCCGGGGATCTCGTGAGCTGGGTGCTGAGCGACGGCTTTGCATCCGGAGCGCACGGCTACACGGTGCCCTCCCAGCGGGGCCGCGGACTGATGCGGGCGCTGACGATCATAGCTGCCCGGCGGGCGCACGGCCGCGGCTTCCCGTCGTATGGCCACACGGCCTTAGGGAACCGGGGGATGCAGCGGCTGCAAGAGAATTTGGGGTACCTCCGGCTGCCGGGGCTGTGCCGCTTCGTGCTGCACAACCCTGCGCTGGCGCGGACTGCGCCCTGAGTGCCCCCCGGGGAGAAATGTGTGAATAAAAGCAAACGAACCGAAAAGAGCCGCCGCGAATGAACCGACTGCAAAATAAAAAAGGAACGAGCGAAAAACAGCAACTCGCAAAGAAACACTGAGAAAAAAAAACACCAACGAACCAACCGACCAATGGTGAACGACGTAAACAACCGAAAAGGTGCAAAAAGCGAAGCGCCAATGAATGACCCGACAGAATAACCGAGACAGAACGGCCCGACCGGCCAAAAAAATACAAAACAAAAAAAAGACCAAGAAAAACGATTAAAGAGAAACCACACCCCCCAAAGCAAAGAGAAAAACACCCGAACCAAAACCGAAACCGAACCGCCTCGTCCGCTGCCCACGGGACGACAGCGGCGGGAGGGCGGCCGGGCGGCGCTGCCGGACGGGGACGGGAAATCGACGGGGGGTGAGCGGGGGGGCGGCGGGAGGTGAACGCGGGGCCGGGGGGAGACGTGCGTGGCTGAAGCCGCCGCCGCCGCCGTCCTGCAGGCTATGGAGCGCGCCGGACGGATCACCGACAGCTTCCCGCGGCGGCACCGCGCGCAGACACGCGCCGGCGGCAAAGAGCGGAGCGGAGCGCGGCGGCGGCGCGGCGGAGAGGGGCGCCACCGGGTGGTCCCGCCGGCCCCGGCCCCGCCGACACCCCCCCACCCCGCGCAGGACGACGCCCGGGACCCCTCTGCCCCGCCGCGAGAGGCCCCGCGTGAGCTGCTGGAGATGTTGCGCCGCTTCGATCTGGCCTGGGAGTACGGGCCGTGCACCGGTGAGCCGTCGCACACCGACCCCCAACCCACCCCTCACCCCATCCCCGCCGCTCACGGCCGTTCCCCCCGCAGGCATCACCCGGCTGCAGCGCTGGGAGCGGGCGCGGGCTCTGGGACTCAACCCGCCGGCCACGATCCGCGACGCCCTCCTGGAGCACCGCGACGACCCTGCCGTCACGTACAGGTGCGGGACGGGAGCGGGGCGGGAGCGGGGCGGAGCGGGGCGGCGGGCTGACCGTGCGCTGTGCCCGCAGCCTGTGGCACGAGTACGGTCTGTGAGCGGACGGCAAGACGGCGGCTCCGGTACGACGCCGAGGTCCCGGTACGCAGCGCCGCAGCCCGGGCGGCCGCTGCTGGGTGAATAAAGCAGTGAGTGCGCTAATTGCGTTAATTGCTCGAGCCGAGGCCGGCGCCTGGTTCCCACGGCAACCGGGGAAGGCGCCCGCCTGCGTCGCTCGTAAGATGGCGCCGCGGCGCCGCGACTACATTTCCCGTCGTGCCCCGCAAACGACAGAGTGGGGCGGGCCCGGTGGCGGCGCGCACGGCCTGCTGGGAATTGTAGTGTGCGGCGGCGGGGCTGGGGCGCAGTCACGTGCTCACGCTGAGCCCTCCTGACATTGCCGTCCCACCGCCCCCAGACAGCACAGCTCTGCACATCGCCGCCATCCCTCTTCGAGGTTTATTCTCTGGCCGGTGAGTGCTGGTGATAGCGGCAGTGCCGCGCGATGCGGCCCTGCGGTGACACGAAGTGCGTACAGAGCGGCGTGGTTTCCCCGGGCCCCGCCCCCATCAGAGCCAGGCCGCGCCTCGCAGTGCTGTCGCGTGGGAGCTCTGCCCGGTGCCCCCGTGGGCTACGGAGCGCCGGGGGGGCCGGGCTCCCGGGTGGGGGCGGAGCCTTCCGTAGGGCTGTGCTCCTCCGCAGGTACGCCGTCTCCATCCACGCTGGCCTGGCGAACCACGCGGCACGGCCGGGACCTGGGCCGCGGTCCCAGGGGGGCCGCCTTCAAGCCCTCCGTGTTCCCCAGGCCCTGGCCGCCTTCGGACACCTGTGGAAGCGGGAGTCTCCAGAAGGAGCCGTGCGTTCCACTGTTCCCCCCACACCCACCGTCACCCACCTGCAGCCCCGCTGTCCCCCGCCCCCTAGCGCTCACCTCCCCGCCCAGGGGCTCCGCGAGGTTCTCGGGGGTTTCCATCTGGCTGATGCTCCGCATGACGGCACACAGGGAGATGCGGGGACGCCGGGCGGCCCCCACCAGCCCCGGCCTGCCGTCCTCCTCGGGGGGCGGTGAGGACGCGGATGGGGACGGGGGCAGGGCTCCGTCGTCCCACGGCACGGCTTCCTCCGGCTCCGGCGCCCGTTCCGCCGCCTGCGGCTCCCAGAAGCTGCTGTGCCGGCTGCACACGAGCACCGCGGTCACCCTCAGCCCCGTCCGCACGGAGCCCCGGCTACTGCCGTCGGAGCGGGTGGGACCCCGCCTGCCCCCCCAGGTACGCCGTCCTACAGCCCACCGCCCCCGAGAGGGGCGCGGCCGCAGCGTGCTCGGCCCGCTGTACCCACCTGGCGTTCAGGATGCCCTGGTAGAAGTCGAGCTGGCGCATGAAGCCGGGGTTGGGCTGCACGCCGGGCCGGCAGCGCCGGACGTGGCGCAACGCCCGCTCCAGGGACCACCCGAACTCCTTCATGGCGTAGGCCAGCACTGTGGCTGCCGAGCGGCTCAGCCCCATGCGGCAGTGCACCAACGCCCGGCCCCCGCGAGCCCTGCCGTGTAACCTCACTGCGATGCAGCTCCTGGGGACCCAGCGGCTTCCCAGTGCCACCTGTGTCCCCAGCGCTCCGAGGACACTGCCCCGCACTGCTCCTAAGGCCTCCGGTTCTCCCAGTGTCTCCCCCTGCTTCCAGTTCTCACAGTGCTCTCAAAGCCACCAGCGTCCCCCTGCCCCACAGCCATGTCATTCTCAGTGCCCCAGGACCCCTCTTCCCCCCCACTGTCCCCAAAGCTCCCAGCCACCAAGATGCCCCCTGGCACCCCACAGCACCCTCTGCTCCCACTAACTTGATGTCAGAGAGGAAAAGGAAGGTGTCATTCCAGTGGGGCAGCAGCTGGGCCGTCTCTTCGTCGTATACCCGCACATTCATGTAGTTGAACAGTGCTGGGAAGAAGTTGTCAATCTCCCGTGCCACGTTCAGGATGTGGGTCACACTGTGGGGCAGCGAGCATTGAGGCCATACGCATGTCCCATTGCCCACCACCACTGCCATCTCATACCCATGCTCACCAGTTCTGCTGCAGCTCCTCCAGGTTGGCTGCATTCCACTCAGAGCCCTAAGATGGCGGTGATGCTGTGGGATGGGCGGGAATAGCGGTACCCCACAGCCCATCCCATGCCCACCAGGTAGATGTGTGGGAAGATATGTGAAGGCCGGTCCATTTGCGCCAGCACCAGCAGCATCTCGTTGTCAATGAAGTCCTTGTGCTGCTCCAAGCTGTGCCCCATGCGCCGCTCCAGCTCTGTCCTCACCTGGCACCCACCAAGGGGTGAGGGATGGTGATGGGACCCCTGTGTCCCCCCCCTCGTCCCCCCCCGGCACTCACCTCCTTGGAGGTGATGCTCTCCAGGTCAGCAGATGTCAGCACGTCCCGCAGCAGTGCCCGCACTGCGCGCTCTGTTGGCTCTGTGGGCAGCAGCAAGCCAGGCCGCACGGACTCCAAGTCGGCCATGGCCAGCCATTCATTGAGGCAGCTCTGCTCCGAGTCCAGTGCTGCTGCGTACTCCTGCACCCAGGCCAGCGCTGGGCCCCCTGGGATGTGCCCACCCTGGGCTGCCAGCTCGCAGGCACGGTGCAGCTCCTGCAGCACGGCCCTGGACACAAGCACTGGTACATTGATTCCGCTCCATGGCTGCAGCCATGCCAGCCCCTCCCCAGCACCACGTCCCCTCGAGCCCAGCACGACTCGTCTCTGGTCATGGTGCCCATGACGCTGCCCCACACCCTTGCATCCTGAGCCCTTGTCCAAAACAGTAATGCACACATCCCCATCCCCATGGCAGTGCCCACGTCCCCATGCCCACAGCCAACTCACCACATGGTCTGGATGGAGATGGGCTTGAAGATGCGCGTCTGCCCCCCGGATGTCACACTAAACCCCCTGGACACCACAGGGACACACGTGGCTCAGGGTGGGCACTCTTGCTGCGCCCCTTCCAGCAGACCCCATCCACCCCACCCGCTCCTTACCCATCACCATCGAGGAAGACCTGGGTGTTGCTCCAGAGGGGCAGCACCATGCCCAGGGTGCAGCAGTCGGCCCTGGGGCAGGCAGGGGTCAGAGTGTGATCATCACCTGTCCCCCTGACCCCACAGCCCCGCTCACCCTTCGTGTGGGAAGTCCACTCCCAGCAGTGCTGTCTGTCCCTCGGCGCCCTCCTCCTCTGGCCGCACCACCAGCAGGTACCGCACCCGCTGTGGCTGCGCTGACTCCAGCCGCACTGCCTGAGGTTGGGGCCTGAGTGGGTGTCCCCAGGCGGACAAGGGGCTGGGCCAGGCTGGATCCCAGCACACCCCCATCGCTATTGCCATCCCATTTCCATATACCCCATCCCAGTCTTGTCCCTGTCCCCAATTCATCCGCACCCCATCATCATCTGCATCCCTTTCCCAACACATTCCAACCCCACTGCCATCACTATCTATATCCTGTCCCCCACTTCCACTCCCGTCCCATTCCCATCCTGTTTCATTTCCATCCTCATTCGGTCCCCATTCCCATCACCATCAGCACACATATCCTCATCCCATCCTGTCCCTTTTGCCATCCCCATCCCATTTGTATTCCCATCTGCATCCTCCTTCCACACTGCCCCTGTCCCTGCCACCGTCCCCATCCCATCCCCAACCCATTCCCCATCCCGTCTCACCACCGTCCCCAACCCCACACCATCGCGGTGGAGACCCCACCAGCTGGATGGCGTCCTGCGATCTCAGCAGCTGCATCATGAGCTGCAGGTGCCTCTCCTGCCGCCCGGGGGGCACGGCGGGGGACGGTCCGGAGGCTGGCGGCTCCTCGGCAGGCAGCAGCAGTGCGGCCCCCCGGACCAGCGCGAAGCTCTGCCTGGGGCAGGAGGGACGTGAGCGGGACGGGATCACCGCCCAGTACCCCTTAGCCCCCGGTGCCCCCATCTCACCGCCGCTGCAGGTGGCCGCGCCTGGGCGCATCGTCCTCCTGCAAAGCACGACGGGGAGAGTGAGCACGGCCAACCTGGCGGCGGCTCGGGCACGACGCGAACCCTCCGCCGTTTGCGGCACGGGCACGGCAAGGGGGGTTCCGCTGCCGGCCGAGAGCTCCAGGCAGCTCGGGGGGGGGTCTCGACCCCGTTCCCCCGGGTGAAGCGCTCGCGAGTGGGGGGACGACGACGACAACGGGGACTTCCCCAGCCCGATCTGGCGGCACCTTCCGACCCTCCCCGTTCGACGGCGCTCCCAGCCCGCTCCCGGCCGCACTCACCACGGGGGGAACCCCGGCGGAGCCCGGCGCCCGCCTCACGGTGACCAACGCCATGCCCCGTCCAGGAAGCGCCGTCACGGCCCCGCCCGCAGCAGGCACGGAACGGCCCGGGAGGGGCAGCGGGCACGGCCCCGCCCCGCCCGGTGTCGGGACTTCCCTGCGGGCGGCGGGGGCACGGGGCAGAACTTTGGGGAATGGGAGGGAGGGACCCCGGGCCGCCCCCTGCTGCAAGGCACGCCTCCGGCCCACCGACCCCGCCCCCCCCGCAGGCCCCGCCCCGCCCCGGCCCAGGCAGAGGCCACACGCGGCTGTCGATAAAGCTCTGTATATGTCCATGTACATCCGACGGGAGCCGCCTCCCCTGGGGCGAGGCGGGGGACGGGGCGGCAGCTCAGCTCCGGGAGCGCCGGGCGCCGCTCCCCCGTTCCGGGCCGCTACTTGTCGGTGAGCGAGAGGCGCAGGATGCGCTGCAGCTCCTCGTCCTCCTCCCGCCGCCGCCGCTCGCGCTCCTCCTGCTCGCGCTCCGACAGAGCCATGGCCAAGCGCAGCTGCTCCGCGAAGCCGCCGTAGCCAGGGTTGGGGGCGGTCTCGCCGTCGGCCGGGCCGGGCCCCGCTTGCAGCAGCAGACTCTCCTGGAGCGCCCTGCGGGACAGCGCTGTGGCCGCGCCCCCTCGGACCCCGCGCCGCTCCTGCCGCCGCTCCGCCCCCCCGAGCCCCGGGAGCGGAGCCTCACGCACCGCTCCAGCTGCAGCTCCTCGTCGTAGGGCGGCGGGCGCGGCCCCGGGCGGGCGTTGGTCAGCGCCTCCCACACGGTCACCTGCGAGGAGTGGGGCTGGGACGCGGCCTCGCGGTGGGCGCGGCCTCGCGGTGGGCGCGGCCTCGCGGTGGGCGCGGCCTCGCGGTGGGCGCGGCCTCGCGGTGGGCGCGGCCTCGCGGTGGGCGCGGCCTCGCGGTGGGCGCGGCCTCGCGGTGGGCGCTCCCACCTGCTCGCTCTCGGTGCCGGCGTCCAGCAGGCTCTGCTGGATGGCGAACTGCAGGAGGTCGTCGTCTTCGTCCCGCGGCGGCTCGCTGCGCCCCGCGCCCAGCACCGTGTATCCCGGCGGCACCTCGAACACCGCCGGCTCCACCTCGCACGGGACCGGCCATCCTACAGCGGCACACCGCTGGGCACCCCCGGCACCGACCCGAGGGGATCCCCGTCTCTGTTCCCGCCTACAACCCGTCACTGCCCCTCTGGTGGGCTCACCCCATTCCCACCTCCATCCCCGTTCATACCATCTAAACCCCCACCCCACAACACCCCGTCCCATCCTGTCCCATCCCCATCCCATCCTCATTTCGTCCCACCCCACCCCCACCCCCACCCCCATCCCCATCCTACCCTCAGTTCATCTCATCTCCATCCTCATCCTATCCGCACTGTGGCCCCACATCATTATCCCCCCAACCCAACCCCATCCCATCCCCCCCCCCCCTCCCCCCCACCTCCAGGCCCAGCCGCCCTGGCACCGGGGGGCTGAGTGGGGTTGCAGACCCGTACGGAGCCTAGCGGTTGGTCACAGCCACAGAGGTTGCTGAAGGTGATGCGGGCATTGAGGACATGGAACAGGGGGATCTCTGGGGGGAACGGTGGGTCAGCAGCCCCACTCGCTACAGCCCCATCCCCCCCACCCCTGCCCTCACCAATCTTGACGGGGAAGCCAGGGGGCAGCTTGAGGGTGATGAAATCACGCAGCTTGGCAAAGTGCGCGTTGGAGATGGCCATCAGGTCGATTATGGGCGTCACCTGCTCGGCCAGCGACAGCGGGTGCTGCTCGCAGAGCCACAGCGTTGCCTTGAATCTGCACGGGCAGTGGTATGGGCACGGGCACGGTTCCGCTCCCCTGCATCCCTCCAGTGCAGCGCCCACCTCTGCACCTTGCTGGACACCTCAATGGGGCGCCCGATGTTGCGTGCCTCCAGGTCGAAGTGTGGGTCAAAGTACTCCTCGAGGGTGATGGCCGTGGGATTGGTGGGGCTGGCAGCTGGGGGTGCGGGTGCCTGGGGGGAGGTATGGCCCCGCGCAGCTCAGCACGGCCCCACGCCGTCCCCCAGCCCTCCTGCCCACCACTCACCCCATTGTGGGTGCCGTGCTGCTGTGCCAGGCCCAGGAAGGAGTGGAAGGGGGTGCGGGAGCCTGTGGGGAAAGACCCGGTGTGGGTGGGCACGGGGCAACAGTGCCAGCCTGGTACCTGCCCCAGGTGGGTGGCGCAGCGACACCTTTAGTGCGGGACTTGTCCTGGTCTGAGAGGTGCTCCGTCCTCGTCTTGGTGACCAGCTCCACATTGCTGGCGCTGTACACCTGCAGGAGAGGACGAGACGGTCTGGAAAGGGAATGGGATGGAGATAGGGATTGGATGGATTGGGGACGGAATAGCAATAGGATGGGAGTGGAATATGGATGGGGATTGGGATGGATACAGGATGGGTGTGGGATGGGGATGAGGTTGGGGAAGGAATGGGATGGGATGAGTTGGGATGGGGATGAGAATGGAGGGGGATGGAGGTGGGAATCGGATTGAGACGGGGATGGGGATAGGGAAGAGGATGGAATGGAGATGGGATTTGGAAGGAATGGGGTCAACCCCACCCTGCCAGTGGCACCTTGGCCTCATAGCCGCTGACCACCTCCATCTTCTCCGAGCGCCATCCCCAGATCCCTGATTTGTTCCTGGGTGCGCAGCCAGAGGGTGGCATCAGCCCTGCATCCAGCAGCCCTCCAGCCCCACCTGCCCCATGGCACACACCGCTCAAAGGCAATGTTCCTGGTGTCCAGGTGCGTGGAGACGATGGGCGACGTCAGCCGCCCAGCCACGTGCTCCTCCGAGGGCTGCATGGCTGCCAGCAGCAGGTCAGGCTCGTGCAGGGCCAGGGCCAGCGTCTCAGTGTACACCACCTGCTTGTCGTGGTCCACCTCCATCACCACCGCTCCCTCCTCTGCACGAGGGGATGGAGTCAGCACTCGGCACTCTGCAGCACACAGGCAACCCCTGGCCTTGGGGAATGCCACATTCCAGGGGTACCCGAGGCCTTTATGGGCGATCTGGGATTTGTGTGGGTCCCTGGGTTTTTCTGGGGTGCTGGAGCCGAACCTTCTCCCTTGAAGATGTAGCTGCGGCGGCCCCGCTGCCACGTCATGTGCTCAAAGCCCAGCAGTGTGGTGTCGACCCGCAGGCTCTCACCCCGCTTCCAGACGCGGTACACGTCACTGGGGCACACCTTGGACACCAGAGGCACTGCGGGCAGCAGCACCCATCAGTGGCGTGACAGGGGGTGACCCCCACCCAGACCTCATCCCCATCCCCCATCCTCGCCCCAATCCTTGTTCCTGCTCACCCCAGCTGGTAAATTCCCACTTCATCTCCACGTAGAAGTCAGAGGCCTGAAGGAGACGAAGGGGTCACGAGGGCTATGGTTCGGAGATCCCTGCTGGGTGTCGGGGAGGCCCGCGGGGCCCCTTGGGGAGCTTGGGAAGGGGACTGAGGGGAAAAAACAGGGAGTCCTGGGGGAGATGGGGGACCCAGGGTCTTTCCAGCTGCCTCTGCACCCTCTAATTCCCACGCAGGGCCTCCAGTTCTGGACGTGTCCAGATCTGGGGGTGCTCCAGCGATGGGGGCGCTCATGCTGGGTGCACGCCTGGTACTAGGGATACCCGGTGCCACAGGAGCTCGGTGACGGAGGTGCCTGGAGCACCCATTCTGGCGTATCCGGTGCCACAGGTGCCTGGTGTGCCCACCCACCGCCCCAACACCCGGCCATACCCGGCGCAGCTTGCTGAGCAGCTCGGGGATGCCAGCAAGTCGCCGCGTTGCCCGCTGGTAGTCACGGTACTGGAGCACCAGCTGCACTATCTCGGGGTCCCCCGTGCTCACTGCCTCTTGCAGCACTGTGGGGCAGGGAGCTGCCATCAGCCAGGTGCCGCCGCCATCCCTGCACCCCAAACTCCCCCACACACCTGTCCAGCCATTGGCATTCTCCCGGCCCACGTTGGCGTTGTGCCGCAGCAGCACCCGCACCGACTCCAGGTGGCCCAGGGACACGGCCAGCTCCAGCGGGGTCCGCCCTCGGGGGTCCGTCAACTCCACGTCGTGCTGGGGCACGCGCACCGTCACCCGGCCGCCCGCAGTCCGGTGCCTGCCGCGTGCCCCCGCTCTCCCACGCCCTCATCCCCAGCCTCGCAGACCCCGACCCCAAGACCTCCCGTCCCTCAGCGCCCCTACATCTCCCCGTCCCCTCACCCCCCCCGGCACCGCGTCCCAGTGCCCCCAGTTCCTCCCTCCGGTCTCCACGTCCCGTTCTCCCCCTCGCTCTCCCCTTTCCCTGCACCCGCCGCGCTGCCGCCTCGGCGCTCCAGAGACCCTATTTCCCCTCTCTTCCCAGTATCACCCGTACTGCCGGCGCCCCCCGTTCCTCCCGGTCCCTGTACCGCTGCCGCCCGCATCCCCCCCGCCGCGCCGTGCCCGGTGCCGAGCCCGCACCCCCCCCGCACCCGGCGCGCACCGTGCCGGAGCGCAGCGCACTGTCCAGCGCCTGGTGCCGGTTGTGCCACACGAGGCGGTGCAGCAGGAAGGTGTCTGCGGCGCGGGCCATTCCCGCACCATGTCCCCGGGGCCCGGGCCGGACCGGGCCGGGCCGGACAGCGCACAGGAGCCGACTGGCAGCTCCGCGCCTGCCCGCAATGGCTGCGCGCGGGGGCGGCGGTGGCGCGGCGCAGCGCAGCGCGGCGGCGCGGGGCGGAGCCGGCACCGGGTAACCCGTCCCCCCCGTCCCCCCCGACAGCAAGGCGATGCCCTCCCTGCTCCCCTGGCGGGTCCCTGTGCCCCCCTGCTGACTTCGGAGCCTGGCTGTGGTTTTCCACATTTTTATTATAAAAAAAAAAAAAAAAAAACCAACTTTTTTTCCCCTTCTTTTTTCCCCTTATTTTTTCTTTTCTTTTCTTTTTTTTTAATGCATTCTCGTTTCTCCTCATTCAACCCTCACTCGCAGCCGTGCCCTGCCCGCTGCTCCTCCCCACGCTCATATTTACAGATGCTAGCGGGCACAGCAGGGAGAGCCGGGGGGCACAGCGCTTGGTGCCATGCGCTGGGGTCACGGGCACAGACTCTGCGTCCCCGCTTCTCCCCCCCAGCTGCCTCCTCCCTGCTCACCCGCCGGCTCAGGGGGTGCAGGGGGCCCATGGCACAGTATTTACAGGGCGCCCCCTGGGCACGCATGCACACCGTCATTCACACCGAGGACTTGGCACCCACAGACGGGCACAGCCGGGCTGGGGCACACGGGGCACAGGGCGGTGCCCCATTTGGCACACACTGGTGGCGAAGGGGGCACTGGACCGGGAGCAGGACAGCAGACGGGAGGGGGGCACGGGACTGCCTTCATCTCAGCCGGATCAGGGAGCAGGGAGCAGTGCTGCATGTCCAGTGCCAGCTCCACTTCAGGACAGCGACGCCATGGCTGTGCCCTACCGTGGGCACGGGGATGGCACTGGCACCAGGTGTCCTCCTAGAGCTCTGCTCAGGGACACAGCGAAGGAGCGGGACCCAACCCAATAAATTAGAAGTAGGGTGGGAAGGGGGGGCAGGGCGCAGGGTCAGAGCCCATTGGCAGAGCGCTGCAGGAAGGGCACTTTGCTGAGCTCCACCACAGGTGAGCGCGGCTTATTCTGCATGCGTGGCACCCGCTGCAGCAGCTGCTGGGCCTGGCGCTGGGCATCCTGCAATTCCTTCTGCCACTGCACCAGCTCGGGATCGCTCTGTGCGGAAGCACACGGCTCAGAGCAGAGCTCCCCCGAGTCACCCTCGTGCCACACGGTGGCTGGGGGCAGCCCTCCCAGGAGGGCCCACGGCACACTCACATCGCACTGCAGCACGAACTGCTTGCCGCCACGGATGCGGAGCAGGATGCACTTGCGCTCCTTCACTTGAGTCTCCTCCACCGAGTCAATCTCCTCCATGGTGAGCAGGGACTGCTGGGGGGGACAGACTCAGCCCAAGCCCCAACGGCTGAACCCCACACCCCCCCCACCCGCCTTACCGGCGACTCGCCCTCCCCACGCCACTCCAGCCGGTTGGGGAAGAGGTAGAAGTAGCGGCGCTGCCACTGTGTCAGAAAGGGGTTGCCCAGCTTGGACATGTACCCGTGTACGATGCAGTCCTTGCCCATGGCGTAGTCTGGGGCCGCAGCAACGCAGGGGAAAGGCTCAGTGCCGAGCACTGCCACCACTGTGCGGTGCCAGCAGAGACACCGGGGACAGCACAGGGGGCACCCAGCCCCACTCACCCTCCTCGTGGCCCAGCTGCTTGTTTTTGGCTTTCTTGCGTGCCTCCTGCTTGTCCGTGTCCGCGTTGACCGTGTCAAAGACTGTCTCGGTCACCTCCTGCTGCCAGCGCTCCGAGATGGTGAGCGGGAAGTTGCGGTACAGCTCCTGATCGCTCTCCAGCAGCTGGCGAGGAGGCAGGGGTCAGGGCCTGCCCTGTGCCAATCCCCTGCTGTGTGCCAGCCCCCCAGCCCGATACCTTGATGCCCTTTGTGTCCTCCTCATCAAAGGAGCCGATGTCAAAGGCATCAGCTGCATTCACCTCACCTCGGGGCGGGATGAGAGGCGGGGAGTACTGCGGGCAGGAGAGAGGCAGTGAGCGGGTGCCTGGCCGAGCCCTGCGGCTGTGCCCCGTGCCCCTCTCACCTTCTGCAGGAACACCATCTGCCAGTCCAGGCCTTTGAAGAAGGGCTCCTCCTTCACCTCCTGAGCGCTGCGGGGCAATGCAGGGTGAATGCGGCAGCGCTGCCCACGGTGATGCCGCCCGTGGCCCCTTCCCCACATCTGCTGGGACTCACCCACGCCCCATGCAGCCCAGCCGCTGGTTGACGTCACGCTGAAGCAGCCCCTCAAGCAACGAGCGCAACTCAGGGGAGAAGGAGTCGGGCAGCTCGACAGCCTGCAGGCAAAGGTTCAGCTGCTCACAGCCGCGCAGGCATGCAAGTGCTGCAGTGCAGTGTCCCAAGGACCCCCGGCTCACCATGGTGAGGGTCATGCGATCGATCTCATGCTTGTCCTTTGTCTTGTGCTGCCGGAAAGGGCTGTGCCTGCAGCCACAGGAGTGGGGCTCAGCCGTGCCCCTGGTGCCCAGCCCCCCCAGTGCCCTCCGTGTGTGCACTCACCCGCGGAGCAGCTTGAAGAGCATGCAGCCCAGTGAAAACCAGTCGGCGCTGCTGTCGTACGCCACCCCCTTCTGCAGCACCTCTGGGGCCATGTAGCCGTGGGTGCCCCTGGGGGCACAGAGCTGGGTCAGGGCTGTGCCCAGGAGTCACAGAGGGCACTGGGGGGGGGGCAGGCACACTCACACGCTGGCGTGGGGTTTCTTCTTGGAGAAGTCACAGGCCAGGCCCAGGTCCGAGATACGGACGTGTCCAAATTCATCCAGAAGGATGTTTGCTGGCTGCCGGGACATGGAGCAACCCCTGAGCCCCAGCCCGGCCCATGGGCATGGGTGGCACCTGGGCTGGGGGTGCCTGTGCATGGTGGGATGGGTGCAACATAGGATGCAGGGGCGCCTGCAGGGTCCCAGAGGTGCCCACGGTGCCTGGGGGCTTCCTGGTGGATGTGGGGTGCCCACAGGACCTGGAGGACTGCGGGGCCTCTACATGCCCACACAGAGGGTGGGTGCTCAGGGGGACGGTCACCTTAAGGTCACGGTACACCACAAAACGACTGTGCATGTGCTCCAGGCCCAGGATGATCTCTGATGCGTAGAAGCGCATCTCTGCTTCCGAGAAGACGCCATGCTGGGACAGGTGATAGTGCAGGTCCCCCCCTGCAGCAACAGGCACCAGCAGTCACCCTGGGAATGCCATAGCAAGGTCCCAGGGGGCTGCAGTGCTGAGGCTGGGGGGCAGCTAGAGGGCTCTCACCATTCATTAGGTCAAGGATGAAGCTGAGCTTGTCAGGTGTGTGGAAAGCATACGACATGCACACGATGAATGGGCAATCCTGGCCAGGGAGAAGATGTCATGCTGAGCCAGCGGTGCCTCAGCAGCCCGCGTCACCCCCTGCCCTGTGCCCTTATCCCCTCACCCCAGTGCTGACAAGGGACAACATGATGCGCTCGTTGAGGGCCAGCGTCTCACCCTGCTTCATCTTGATGCGCTTCTTGTCCAAGCACTTCATGGCATACCTGGGGGCAGAGAGTCCCTGTGGGGTTCTGCTGCTGCCTGTATCCACCACGCCTGTGCCGCAGTGCCTGTGGCCAGACAGCTCCTTCCCCCAGCCATCGCAATGTATCCCCCAGGAAGGTGGAGCCATGGCGACACTTTGGCCTTCCTGCGTGCTTATCATCAAAGCAACACCGCTCATCCCCCTGCCCACAGAACCACAGTCTCACATCACAAGCAGACCTCCCTGGCCCCATTACATTTTGCCTGTGTCCGCTTTCCGGCAGCCGTAGACCTCCCCAAAGCCACCGCGGCCGATGATGCGATGCACACTGAAGTCATTCATGGTGAGCTAAAGCGGATCAGAAAGAGGGGATCACCCCGTCGCAGCTACCCCCTGTGTGTCCTGCGGGGGTCCCATGCCCAGCCTCAGTCCCCTGGAACTCCCTTAGGACCAGGACCCATATTCCCTCCCTGTATCCCAAGGAGGAAGGTCTCACATGGATGTTCAGCTCCACGTTCTTCCACTGGCAGAACCGTGTGAACTTGTCACTGCAAGGAAGCACAGAGAGGGTGAGAGTGAGGGACCCCTGGGGAGACCTCTAAGATGCATGGCGGGGCAGAAGGGATCCAGATGTAGACAGGACCCTCACGTGAGAACAGAGACCCCAGGCCAGAGCTGGGCATGACATCAGCCCAAGTCCCAGTCTGGAGACAGACAGCACTGGAGATTCTCAGCAGGAGCCCTGCAGCACCCTGAGAGACAGCTCTCCCCGGGCTGTGCTCCTGTCTCACCTCTCGATGAATTTCTGGAAGATGCTCCCACGCAGGTTCTGGCAGATCTCCTCAATGTAGGGCTAGGGGTAACATGGGGGTTAGCATTACATCCCCACTACCACCCAGGTCTGCCCCCTTCCCTGCAGAAGTTAGGTGGCATTTCTCACATCTCCACTGCCACCTTCCACCATCCGAGGCCAGCTGTCTCTGGTGACCCCAGTGCCACCATCCCCTCCATGTCATGGACAGAGCTTACCTGGAAGAGGTCTGGGGGCACCTGCCTCTTGCTCAAGCGGCTCTGCACATGCTCTGTGGCACTCTTGGAGAACGGCTGCGGGGCAGAACACCACCACATCACCATGAGAAGGTGGGATGGGGACATGGTGGTAGAATCCCCTGTGGTGTGGCATGATGAGGCACAGCACTCACGTGGGAGCAGGCCAGCAGCTCCTTCATGATGTAATGGTCAAAGATGTAGTGGCTCCGAGTGGCTCGCTCCTCCTCCGAGTCCAGCTTCTCGTATTTTTTGATCTGCCAAGGGCATAGATTGCGTGGTGAAGGGGCACAGCTCCACAAAGGGCGCATACGGTGCACAGGGGGGGACCACATCTCGTGGGCACTTGTGGATATCAGGACCCTGGGCACTGAGGGCATCACCTCCAGGCATGTGGGGCATCATCTCCCCCAGGCACATCACAGGACACCCCAGCCCCAGCACCCCATCGCACCTCTTCGTAGAACTCCATCAGGGGCTTGGCCTCCTCAGCCTGGTTGAGGGCGAAGTCCCGGAACAGCAGGTACCCTGGGGTAGAGGCAGCGCTGCGAACAGTGTCTGCGCCACGGTGTGGCACCCAGGCCGAGGGACGCAGTGCCACACGGCAAGGGCGCGGCAGACCAAGGGCTCTGGGGCTGCCATGAGGCGGAGGTGCCGGAAACCACCAGAGCCGCGGGAAGGAAGCAAGAGGCGCTTCCTGCCCAGGACAGTTAGCGCTAGGGGAAGCAACAGGGCGGGGAAGACTGGGGGAGGACAGCACCCAGCACCTCTGCAGCCCCACAGCCCCCACTCACCGATCTTCTGTGCAAAGATCTTGTCGAACGTCACCTCGCCCCGGTCCTCCAGATACTTCTGCATGACGCTGCGGATGCTGGGGGGCAGCCGGGGGTCAGTGTCGGCTCATTGTTCCCCTCCGTATCCCTGTGCGCCCCGACAGTATCTGGGGCGCCAGAGGGTCCGAGATAGGGGCACGGTGGGGCTGAGGGCGGCAGGGACGCCAGGGCCCGGCCCGGCGGCCCCGGCCCGACGCCACTCACCTGGGCTCTGGCAGCAGGATCCGTTTGCTGGCGCGGGCGGCGGGCGCGGCCCGGCTCTTCTCCATGGCCATCAGGTAGCTCACATCGGCCAGCACAGCCTCTAGGTCCGCCATCTTGCGCGGGGCCGAGGCCGGCACCGGCCCGACCCCAGCAGCGACCCGGAAGCGGAAGTAGCCGCATCCGGAAGTGCGTTGGGCTGGGCCCGAGGCGTGCGGGAAGGGAGGGGGTGAGGGCCCGCGCGGCCCAGAGGGGGATGTGCCCCCCCCCCTCCCCCCAGCCGTGGGGCAGAGCTCAGACGCTGCGTTGTGTGTTTTCGTTTTCCTCAACTTTTTTAATTCCAAAAATCCACCCTGAGGAACAGAACAGTTCTGGGAGGCCCTCCCAGCCCCTCTCGCCTATCACCGCAGTGATATCTCCAAAACCACCTCTGGAGAGCAACAGTGAAATAACAAACGAAAAACAACCGAACAAAAAGAAACAAGCAGCCCCGCCGTGCGCCCCCCCCAAGCCCCAACGCAGAGAGCGCACGCTATGGTTTGCTTTAACCCTTAATGCTTACATTTAATTTTAAAGCACAAACATCAGAGATGGACTCTAATTGCCAACAAAAAATATATATTTACAATATTTCTCCGAGGGGGAGAAGGGAGGGGAGGTCGAAACAGAACAAAAACACAACCAAACCCTTAAACAATAGGAACTGTTCTTGCGGGAGCTGGCCGGGAGCAGTCCGGGTGCTTTAAATCACTGAGTGATTTCACATATAGAACTCTCTCTTCGCTTACTGGTAGATCGCCTGTCCCTGCGGGGCTGTGGGGGAGGGGGGGCGGGGAGGGGGAAAGGAGGGAGGTCCCGCACCGCTCCCCGTGCCTCTGTCCTTCTGGTGGCGAAACTCAAAAAACAAATGAACCCAAGGAAAAAAGAAAAAACGCTGATTCTTCCGCTGCCTTACACAGCGACCACCACCAGGACAGAGGTGGGGGGCTCTGCTCCCCCCACTAACAGCACCCCCGCAGCCTCCTCTCCTCCCTTATTGCTTCTGGGGCCCCAGGGGCACACGGGGCTGCGCTGTGCCATGCACCGGGGAGAGGAGCAGCAGCCGGGCGCGGGCAGGGAGGGAAACAAAAGAGTGACCCAAAAGATACCAACTTTTTTTTTTTTTTTTTTTTTTTTTTCTCTCCTTCTTTTTTCCTCACATCTTGATTTTTTTTTTTTCCTTTTTTTTTTTTTTTTTTTTTTTCCTTTTTTTTTTTTTTTTTTCTTAAAGTGCAAAAAGCTCTCTGCTGCCCTAGAGAGAGGTTCTTTGGACCAACCGCTCATTGCAAAGGAAAAAACGGCAGCTAAAATGGGGCGGGGGGAGAGGAGAGGACAAGGCAGCAGGACAGTCCTGCCACACAAATCTCAGCACTTGGCAGTGCTGGGCCGTGGCAGGCAGCTGGGGAGGGAGAAGCAGCAGTTCCTGCTCCCCCTGTACTCACTCACCCTTGACTGATTATTCGAGTCCTCCCTGAGCTCTGGGGGCTGCTCCCCTAGCCTAGCCTTGCACAGGGCTCTGAGGAAGCCCCAGGGTGGAAGCTCCATCCCCAGCCTTGCCACCACGCCCAGGCTGTAGGGCTCCTGCCCTCACCCTCACCGCAGGGGAAGAACGGGATCCGAGGGCCAGGTGAGGGGGCTCAGAGCAGGGCTCAAGCTGGTGGTGGCACCGAGAGAGAGGGTCCGTCCCAGCTCTGCTCCCTCCTCCTTGGAGAGGCCTCAAGCTTTGTGCTAATGGGGAAGTGACAAGTGTTTCAAGGCAAGGAGCTGGGGAAAAGCGGGGGGAAGAGGGTGCGCCCCATTTCTCCACCCAGGGATGTCTGCGACAACCTCCGCCTTGGGAGCTCCCTGCTGCGGGCACGGTCCTCCTCTCGTACTGGCCAGCCGGGGGAATGCCCACATCGGCACAAGTCCCAGCGGTAGGAGGAGAAAAGACAGCTGAGCAAGGCCAGTACCGGCCCTGCCCACGAGGAGGCAGGGGCAGGACATGGAGGGCAAGGTGGGAAGGCGGAGGAGTGGCTCTCTGAGAGGGGTGGGCTTTTTTTCCTTCTCCTCAGCCTGCCCGGGGGAGGGTCTCTAGCTGATCTTTTGGATCAGCTTCTCATCGGACAGGCAATACAGGCTGTTGATGGACAGATCTGAGATGAAGTGCTCACAGGCTTTGCGAGTGATCTGCTTGCAACCTCGCAGGTCAATGAGAGTGACGTTGGAGATGCGGCGCAGGTACAGCAAGGCCTGGTCTGTCAGCTTATTGCAGCCTGCAGGGACAGGAGAGAAAGGTTGAGCTGCAGTGTCAGCACCGAGCAGAGGAGCAAATCGCTCCGTGCCAGTAAGGCCAGCAGCACCCACCTGCCATGTTGAGCTCAGTGAGGGAGTTGCGTGTGGAAGAGCCCACAGCCGTGAGGAGGTTGGCAGACTGGTCTGTAAGGTGGTTGCAGTGGCTGAGGTCAAGGCGGGAGAGCAGGGGCATGTGGCGGATGATCAGCCGCAGCGTGGCGTCAGTGATGTCCAGGCCAGCAAGCCGGAAATCAATCATGTTGCGGAGTTTGCTGCGATTGTCCTGACCTGCAGAGGAAGGGGAAAAGCCGGGATCAGACACACGGTGCTGCGCCGTGCAGATCCAGTGACACCTCCTGCCCTGTGCCTGGCTCAGTCATCTTGGCCACGTGGCAGCGGCTTACTGGGTTTATCTGTTGGAGGTGTGAGCAAGTCCCGGATCTGAGGGTCCTTGATTCCTACTGCCCACCGAAGATCAAGGGTCCTGAGAAGGGGGCAGCTGGAGGTACTGAGAGCGCAGACTGCAGACCAGGAACAGCCTGCTAAGATGAGGTCTTTCAGGCCTGCCGGGAAAAAAAGAAAGATGTAAGATGCCAGCTGGGCTTGGCCAGTTCTGAGGCATCTCAGGTCTCAGGTGCAGGAGGAAACAGCTTCTCTCCCTGCCTGAGGTGGGACATAGAGCAAGGTTCCACGCTGAGAAGAGCTGCAGAAAACCATGACGGCAGCTCCCCAGGCAAAGGGACACAGGCACTCGGGAGTCTTACTGCAGGCAGGTACCCCTCTTGCTATGCTTCAGCCACTGGGGAGCTGTGGAGCAGGCTGGCAGCAGACCAGTGCCCAGCTCACACTCACCTGGCAGTCTGTTGACAAGCCACGTGAGCTGCTTTTTGGAGATGTTGGTCCAGCTGAGGTCAAGGCTGACAGGCTGTCTTTTGATGATACCACTCAGTGCCTGGGGGGTGATGGACTTGCACCTGCTCAAATCTATCTTTGTCCACAGTCTCTTGTCACAGCACCTGGGGGACGAGGACAAGGGTGAAAGCTGAGCACTGAGGGTGTCAGGGACAAGAGGCAGTCATTCTGGGAGGACCCTAGCCCTGGCATAGCTCCAGCCATAGAACAAAGCCACTCCTTCAAGTTGGTTGGGCCTTCCCAGACATGCGAGGATGCTGAAGGTGCCTGGCCACCTAGGATACCCAGAAGAGCTCCAGCAGAATTTTGCTGCCATGTAACAGAACTGCACAGCAACTGCCAGCCTGCTTGCTCCCCAGATACGGCAAAGATTTTCAGTATCCTTGCTTCCAGGGGGCAAAATGCTCCACCTAGTCCCATCCCACAGCCATAGCAGTGCTCTCTGCATCACCAGGAGCTGTTATGGAGCCTGAAGGTGGAATGAATCCCTCCTCTGTCACAAGAGCCGGGGACCTGATGCTGCCCTACTCCCAGAGCAGCCATGCCACGTCCCCTACAGCCTGCCAAGCCCAATGCCTGCTGATCAAAGCGTGCCAGCCCTTCCCTGCCGTGCCATTCCCACTTCTTGGCATCAAGAAACCCAGTTCCCCATCCTTGTCTGTTCCCAGCTCTCCATCCACAGCTGTCCTGCTGCCAGCATTGTCTTCAGCCAGCGCCCCTTAAGGCATTCCCAGGCAGCAAACCCATCCTCACTCAACTCGTGCTGTGGGGCCAGGAAGGGCAAGGGCTGCATGGGGCATCGGGTGAGGTAAGAGAACCAGCACCTCACAGGAACACGGTGTGGGATTTGAGTTACACCGTGTGACCATCTCCCACCGAGGGGACAGTCAAGCACAGACAGAAGAGGCAGTGGGATGATGCTGCCTGAAAAATGCCAGTGCTGGGGAGAGGAGGAAGGCACGGATAGGTTAGGGGGTGAATGATCCTTTGCCCCTTCCCCTCTTAGCTGCCCATCAGGCCCCAGGCTCTGCGGAGTTACAAGTGGTCCTGGCAGCACTGCCTGTTCCCATACTCACCACTTGTACCAGGTCTTGCACACCCGCATGCACTCGCAGAGCTCCCTGCGGGTGAGGTAGCGGAAGACAGACATCCACACCTCGCGCTGCATCCAGCTCTCCTCACCCTCCTGCACCCGGCCCCCTCTGCCGTTGAGGCGGGCAGCCCCTCCCTCCTCCATGTTCTCATCATCTTCATCCTCCTCCTCCTCGTCCTCCTCAGCAGCCGCCTCGTCCTCCCCCCCACCCCGGGGGTACATCCGGGCAGGTGTGTGGCGCATCACCACACGGGGAGAGTGCTGCAAGTTGGCAGAGGAGGCGGTGATGGCTTGCAGCTTGGGGACAATGGAAGTGCCATGAACATCTTTGGTGGGGCGCTGGAGCGTCACGGTGAGGTAGGAGCCATGCAGCTTAGCCTTCTCCACTTCTGACAGCTCCTTCTTGCCACTGGGGTTGTTCTCCTTCTCCCGCACAATGGTTCGCTCAGTGGCCTGGAGCCGCAGAAGCTGGCGCCGCTTGAACCGCTCGTCCCTGCTGGCGCTGTGGTGCTCGCTGGGACCAGCGCCTGGGGACGAGCGCGTTACCACACCTCGCGGTGACACCGGGTCGTGGATCAGCTGTAGCATGGGGGTGGGCGAGTTGGGTGGCGGGGTCAGGGGCTCCTCACAGCTCCGCAAGGGCCGCAGCACCTTGGCTTGTGCCATGTCATCATCGCTCTCTTCTACCTTGCGCTTCTGCAGAGGCAGAATGGCAGGTTAGCAGGGGTAGGGGAACGTGCTCCTCTTATCCCTCATGGTTGTCATGCACCATACCCACAGCAAAAAAATTGGCATTTCCTTCTCCTCTTGCAGAAATAGTGTCCCCTGAGGCTGGGGCTGGTGTCC